GAAATAAATGGGGACATCTAAGGAGTGAACAGATCGGATTCAAGATGCATGTCAGAGGGAGAAGCAAGAGAATTGAGTGTGCTCCCAGGTTCAGAAAGAGAGAGGGGAAAGAGTTAAAGTCTGGCACCTGGGAGGGTGGTGTGACATCAGCCAAAACAGCAAGTCAAGGGGAGAGGCAGGTTTGGGAGGGAAGATGAGTTCAGTTTTGGACGAGTTGACTCGTGTCCCCCAAGCAACGAATGGGAAAACTCACCCAAGTAGGTGCTGTGCAAAAGGGGAGGGGGAGGGAGAGGGAGACTGCTGAGCAGAGGAGGGATCAGATGCTGCTGGCATCGAACTTCCCGCTTCCCAGGCAGGAGGAAGGCAGCTTTGAGCAGGATCTGAAAGGAGGAGAGGGAGAGAGGGGCAGGATTGGCAGGCAGCCTGGATCCTGCTTCTGTTTCTCCATGGGGCTGCTGGGCCTGAGCCCAGTGGGGCCTGGTGGGATTTTCTCCCTTATCAAGCCCCAGGCTTGACTGGCTGGCCTTATCCCCAGATCTTGGTCAATAGGGCCTTCCGCTGGGAGTCCAGAAGACCTGCGTTCGTCCCACGTTGCGTCAGGCACCAGCTGGGTGACCCTGGGCACTTCACGCAAACCTCTCTCAGCTCTGGTTTCCCTATCTGCCAATGTGGGCAATTACAGCTCCTCCCAGGGTTGTTGTGAGAATCAAGTGAGATAAGGCGTGTAAAGTGTTTGCAAACCTTGAAGAACTATGTAAATGCTGAATATTGCTATTATTCTAATCATCTATTCTGAACCTATACAATGAACTTTTGTCTGTTTATTGACACAGGCATGACTCTTAATTATCTGCTTTTGACATCCTGAAGAACATGAAGACAACCAGGGATAAGCCTAGTCACCCGTCCCATCCTGCCGCCCTAACATCCTTGCATCACAGACCATCACCTGGTCCTACGCCCATCGCCAGGTGAGGACTCACCCCTCCTTTTTGGACTTAGAGGCAGAGAACTCTGGAGGCAGTGGGGGGGGGGGGCTGTGGTCAGTGACTGTCCAGTGCAATAGCACAGGCAGTGCCAGAACCAGGACCATGACCCAAGTCTCCTGTTTCCTAGCCTGCTCCTGTTTCCACTGTGGCCCCCCAGCTAGTGCCACAATGGATCAATCATCAAGAATAGACTGCTAACACTGAGGCAGCAGGGTGGTGCAATGGTTAGAGCTCTGGGCCTGGAGTCAGGATGCCCTGGGTTCAAATCTCTGCCTCAGATTCTTCCTATCTGTGTGGCCCTCAGCAAGTCACTTAACCTTCCCTAGCCTTAGCTTCCCCAGCTGCAAAATGGAGATAATAATAATGCCTCCCTCCTAGGGTTGTTGTGAGGACCAAATGAAAAAAAATATGCTTAAAACAGCATATTGTTAAGCCATTATTATTATTATATGTCAGATACTCCTCTCGGTACTGCATATACTGAGACAAAAGTGAACTGATCCCTGCCCTCAAGGAACTTACATTCTGTTGGAGGGATACAAGGGGACACAGATAAGTAAATACAAGGTAGGGTCCAGCCCTGAGATGTGCGCATTCAGTTACCTTACAGAGAGCACCATGTCCCTACCTCAGTTCTCAAAGCGTTTGTCTGAATGTACAAGGAAGTCCTGCTAGCTGAGTCCCTCAGAAGCAGAGCCCCCAAGTGATCCCCGTCTTTGAGGGGCCCAACCCTGGGAGGCCCTCCTCTAGGAGGGGGCATGTGAGAGGAGCCTTGAAGGGAGCTGGGGATGCCAAGAACCCCAGGAAAGGAAAGGAGCGTTGGTGCACTGGGGGGACACAGCCCCGCATCTGACCCACAGGAAGGAGGCATCGCCGGGCTGCCTGAAGTAGGATGCGTGTGTGAGAGGGGGCGTGGTGTGGAGTCAGCTTGGAAAGAGAGGCCGCAGACAGCGCTGGCGGTGGGGGCTTTAAATGCCAAGCAGAGGGGTCTGCATTTGACGCCAGAGACAACAGCGAGCTCTGGAGCTGCTTGGGAAGAGGAAAGACATTACTGTGGAACAAAACTCGGTGGGGACGGATCCAGGCAGGCCCGTCAGAGGGCGACTGCAGGGGTCCAGAGGGGAGGTTCGGGAATGGGGCTGGGGGTAGGGGTGTGAGCAGAGGGATGGGGTCGGTGCGGCAGATACTGGGCAGGCAGAAGCTGCTGGATTTGGTGACCGATTAGATCATGGGGCTGGGGTGGGGCAGAGTAAGGAGTCCCAGGGACCCAGTGTGGTGGCTGGCACAGCTGGGCGGCCAGCTGTGAACCTCCGGTTCCTCGTCTACTAAATGGAGACATACCTTAGTATCTGCTTCATAGGTCTGATGGAAGAATCAAACATGATAATGTAGATAGAAAAATGGCAGGTTTTAAGATGCTATATAAAGTTACTATTGTTAATATTATTATGTTATCATCCCCATTTTACAGATGAGGAAATTGAGGTAGTGAGTTGCCCCAAGTCTTTCCTGACTCCAAGTCCAGTGCTCTTAGCACCGCACCATGTACCTTTCCATGTGGTCAGCCAAGAGCCATCGGTCAAAGTCCCTTGTTGCCACCCTCTGTGATAGTCGGGGGCGGGGGGGGGGGCATCTCTGGGAGGGGTGTTCCAAAAGCCCAGAGCCTGGTCTACCTATATAATGCACCAAAGTTCCAGCAAAAGGCTCCCCACCCTTTGGCTGCATTTCCCTCTCAGCGCTGCCCTGTATAGTCCCTGTAATAATCCATGGGAAGAAATCCCGTTTTGGAGCTGAGAACGGAAAAGAGAGGGGGCAGAGTGGGATCTGCTCAGAGCCACAGCTCTCCTAAGAATTCCAGGTCGACACACAGACACACAAAGCTACAGGCAGATGCAGCAGTGAGAGTTGGGGAAGGGGGCCTAAGACCCTCTACTCCCACCATGAGAGGAGAAGCAGGTCCTCCCCAAATAAAGAGGCCCTGAAAATCATAGGAAAACGACATAGAAAGGAAAGGTTTGGTGCTGTGTCTCTGTCTCTGCCTCTAGCTCTCCTGTTTTTTGGGAGGTTCTGGCTCTTTTGGGGAAGTTATTCCTATTGCCCTCTATGATGGTTGCTTGCTGAAATCCACTATTTGGGAAGATGATATCTCACACTCTTTCTGGGAGTCGGAGGGATATCCATTTATCTTTGGGATGGTTCTGTGTCTCTGTGGGAAAAGTCTCTGTTTCTCTCTTTCTGTCTCTGTCCCTCTGTTTCTTTCTCTTTGCCTCTCTGTCTCTCTATTTCTCTCTCTCTCCATCACCGTCTGTTTCTTTCTGTCTGTTTCTCTTTCTGTCTCTCTCTGACTCTCTGTTTGTATCTCTCTTTTCTGTCTCTCTGCCTTTCTGCTCTGTTTCTGTCTTTCCCTCTCTCCCTCTAGCGCTCTGCTCTTTTTGTCTCTAACTCTGCTATCTTTGACTCTGTCTCTGCATTCTCTCTGTGTCTCTTTTGTATCTGTCTGTCTGTCTCTTCCTTTCTCTCCCTTTGTTTGTTTCTCTTTCCCTCTATCTCTCCCCTCCTCTGTCTGTCTGTCTCCCTCTGTCTCTCTCTCTCTGCCTGTCTCTCTCTCTCCCTCTGTTTGTTTCTCCTTTCCTGTATCTCTCTCCTCCTCTGCCTATCTGTCTCTCTCTCCCCCTCTGCCTGTCTCTCTTTCCCTCTGTATGTCTGTCTCCCCCTCTGTGTCTCTCTGCCTGTCTGTCTATATCCCTCTCTCCTATCTATCTCTCCCTCTCTGTCTGTCCCTCTCTTTGTCTATCTCTTTCCCTCTCTGCCTCTCTGTCCCTCTGCCTGTCTCTCCCTCCCTCTGTGTGTGTGTGTGTTTGTGTGTGTGTCTCTCTCTCTTTGCCTCTCTCTCACGCTGACTCTTCCTCTCTCTCTCTCTCTCTCTCTCCCTCCCTCTGTGTGTGTGTGTGTTTGTGTGTGTGTCTC